TAGACAAAATGGCCGCCTTTATACACGACGGATTGAATGTTCTACGTCTCCTGATTGGTTAACTTTCTATTGGTGGACTATAAAGTGAGTTAAGTCCTTTTGACTGGCTCACTAGTTATATATATATATATATATATATATATACAAAACTGTAACAATGTCGTGGTACTAAAGTTGCTCTCATGTCTTAAGCCAATCTTCGTCACATTCTGCACATATTTTTCTCGAAACATTTCAGCTTTTTACAAATATTTTCTTGCTGGTCATTCTAATTTACAAACTTATTCTTTCTTTTAATATGCCGTGTCCCTTCAGGACGTAGGCGATCATGGCCTTCCACTACCCCTATCCTTTGTAACTCTCAATAAGTTTTGTCCCTTTGCTACTTCCCCCAGGCCATATTCTATCATCCACTTGCTTGCCAGGTATATGTCATGCGTTGCTTTCCCTTGTCTCTCTTTCCCTCTATTCGACCTGTGAGTATCAGATTCTCCAAGCCCTCCTTTCTCATTATGTGTCCCGGAAATTTCAGCTGCTTATTCCTGATGGTAAGTATAAGTATTTGTTTGCATCCTCTTTAAAACTTCGTCGTTGCTCACACGCTTAGTCCATGGTATCCTTAGCATCCTTCTGTAGATCCATACATCGGTTGCCTCGAGTCTCTTCTTCATCTTTAAGAAGACCTTCCAATATTCGCTGCCGTAAAGGAGGAGAGATGTCACGTAGCAGTTCAGTATTCTTTTCTTTGTTACCAAAGAAATCCTCCTGTCTCGTAATACTCTGTCTAGCTTTTGAAATGCGTCTTTGTCATGGCTAACAAACGTATTACATTTTTTTTTCAATTTTCTGACATTCCTAAAGCCGGCCTTTTTCTTCTCGTTGTGATACCACAGTCTTCAATTTCCTTTTTAGGTGTTCTCTGATCAATCTTTAAAATTTCGCAATTCAATGTTCTTTAAAATATATTTTCTTGACAGGCTCCATCATTCTTACTAAATATAGAATTTCTTTAAATATATGAAATTAAAAATTAAATATCAGTAATGATACTGTTATAAACAGGGTGCCCCCCCCCGCAAAAAATGAATCTCAAATTCTAAAACGCTAACTAGGTTGACGGTGCGGACTTATCTCAATGCGAATCTACTAGGAAGATGAATCGGGCGTGCCCGTGATAATGATAATGTGCTGTTGAAATGGCCACTACGTTTACCTGACTTGACAACTTGTGATCTTTTTTCTATGGTTCTGTGTGAAAAGACAAGTCTCTATCCCCGCCACTTCTTACAAGCCTAGAGCAGAGAATAACTGAGCTGCTAGAGAATGTTACGCAAGACATGCTACAGCGTGTTCGACAGGAGCTGGACTACGTGCGTCGTGTCACAACTGAAGGACATAATAAATATTTGTGAAGCTTTGTGAAATCGGTTATAAAATCTAATTCCTTTTGAATATCTTGTTCCAATTTTGATAAATAAATCTTTTAATGTTCAACATGAAGTCTATTTAATTTCATTTGCCTGGCACGTATAGTTACTCGGATATTCACATTTTAAATTATGTCAATTTTAGGGAAAAATCCTGTATTACTATATGATGAACAATAATGCATTAACTTAAAATTCCACACAACTGGGTTATTGCAAATATTTCTAGTATTAAAAGACACTAATTTTAACCCGTAAAAATTTCGCACTTTTCCTATTTGAAGTTACTCTTGAATTTTCATTCTTCAGTTAATGATTGAATAAGTTCATGGCGAGTCCTGTGACAAGAAAAAAATATCCGTAGAAATCCCCCCTCGCATCCTTAAGGACACATGACACAGCGGATAAAGGCGTTGTTAGATCCAGTGACAGGGCACAAAGAGTTGTGAGTTCAGTACCTGGGTGAGGCAGTGGAGAATTTGGAGAGGTGAATTAACAGGAAATAACTGATAACTGACATCCAGTAGACATGGCACGTGGAACTAGAACAGTCTACTCTAGCGAGCGAAATAATGGGTTCAGTTCGACAAACCAACCAACTAAAGAAGGCCGGAGCGTACAACGGCCGAAACGTTGTGATAAATATGGCAACAAAGATGAGAACAATAGTCCGAATAATGTAAATAGTGTATATATATATATATGTGTGTATTAAGATATTTTTATTTTCTTTTTATAGATACAAATATTTAAGTAAATGCTCTGTTTATAATAAACAGAATTAATAACATTTACCGGCCTGAATGTCCGAGAAATTTTCATAGAAAATATTCATCCCCCGACAGGAATCGAATCTGTATCCTATATGGAACCGTCATAAAGCCTGACCGTGCCTTAACCGATTGAGCCATCGAGGAGCGTTCGGTTAGCGTCGATTTTACTGCTTTTAAACTAAAATCTTCCATGAATCTCTCACGTACATTCATATCTACTCAAGGCGTATCCAAATGTAAACAAATGACGTCACACATTATGAAATGGACAAAGTCCGACAATTATTTTAAAACATTTTT